AGAGAGAGAGAGAGAGAGAGAGAGAGAGAGAGAGAGAGAGAGAGAGTTAAATTGACAGATTCTCCGTACATTTATATTGAATTTTTTGTGATTCTAATAATTTCCGATCTCTCAAAATCTTCATGAGCAGCTGCGAAACACAAGCACGACAAATGTATTAAATAATAACGATAACATATTAAATAATATAATATAATATAATATAAAATATTGATGTTGTAATATAGAGAGAGAATACGTTAAATAATAATGCTGCTGTAACAATGTCGCCGCATGTACTCAAGTGCTTTGACGATTCGAAGGCCGCATGACTTTTGGGAACAATAAAATACATAGATAGAGGTTTTGTACTTGAGATCACAACAGTCTTCGCCGCACAGCCAGGCACATCTGGTGATGTCACACGGTATTCCCGATTATTCTACACGGAAAAAAAGGTTTGGTTGAATTAACCAAATATCTGGTTCAATATAAACGATCCAGAAATTCCGATTGAAGTAACCCGAATTCTGTTCAAGTCAACTAAAAATCTTGTTAACTTAAATAGAATTCGAGTTACTTCAATCAGCATTTCTAGATTGTTCATATTCGACCAGATATTTGGTTAATTCAAACCTTTTTTTCCGTTACGATCATCGATGTGTCTGTATGAAATTGTGCAAAACATTTCGCAAGTACGACCATAATACTGGAAATATGGCCGTTGGAATATGTTATTAACAACTAACTAATTAACGAGCGAATATTACATTCCATTTTTATCATGTTTTTGCGGAAAATAACTAATTATACGAGCCATGTAACTGTATTCTCGTATGCCTGAGTGTGTTGAAGGCCGTGTGACTTTCGTAAACAACACGTAGACTGTGTGCTCGAGATTATAATCACAGTCTTCGCCGCACAGGCGGGCACATCGGGTGACGTCACGCGGTATTCATAATTTATTCATCGACGCGTGTGTTTGAGTCAAATTGTAAAAATATTTCGCGAAAATGTGATCATAGTGCAGAAAACGTCGTAAGTTGTAAGAACGCGCTAGTAACCAGTTGACGACTGAATATTACATCCCACATTATTATATTTAAGAAAAATACATCTCAGTAATCTCATCTCGTCTTCTTCACGTTCTATACCGTGTGTACCTTTGTATTCTCGACTCGTCGAAACCAAATAACTTCTCTGTTTAACTATTTATTAATGAGGAAAATTACATTTTTGTTTCAGACTTGGAGTGGATCTTGCGGCCACATTGCGAAGGCAACTGCAGTTTCAGCGGACGTGTATGCCGTACCGGAGGACCCGGTTCGGGCCGGAAAGGGTCGGCTCGAAGGTGAGATTATAAGTTTCCTATACTCCTCTGTGTTCAACCCTTTGCGAGATTCACAGAGTTGCGATATAATTGTCTGTGCAGTTTGGATTACGATCGCGTAGGGTTGTTCTATTGTTACCTACCCGCACTCGTTAGTCAAACAAAATTCTTGAATAATTAAACTGAATTTTTATCAGCGTCTCTCTGCTTTTTTTGTTGCAGTTTTATTGAAGCGGTATGTGGCCGGCCCTGACTGCGAGTCGTTTCGGTGAGTGAAAAGCGAAAAAAGAATTTTGGCGACGGGTTTATAGGTGGCGGGACTAGATGGAATATCGTGCAAATCAATGCGAATTGCTTGTAGTGTTTTGCATGCTGGACTCTTGCATGTATATGTTTGTCATGTTAAACAAAGTACCACTACTCGAAACAATCACGGGATCGCTTCATCAAATGTTTCTATGACGTAACAGATTTAAAATACTCGGTAAATTCTCTCTTAATTTTTCGCAAAATCTACAGTAAAAATATTTATGTGTGAATGTAATATTCTCATAACTATTTCACTTTAACTTTTATTATTTAAACTACAGAATTATTCTACGGTATCCATTGTTTATTCAGTGCGATCCCTTAATTATTTCGAGTATACTATATAATGCGCATGAAAATTGCGCCTCCACGCGTTGAACTCGAGGTATCTTCGTTCACGTGAATTCGGATTTCGCGTTTGCCACGATTATCAAATTTATGCGCGTTTTTGCGCCGCGATTACGTTCTGTAAGTAAGAACGAGTCTGGTTGAATTCGATTATCGCGAAAGTGAGCTTCGATAAACTAGTAACACGAAGCTTTATTGTGCGTGAAAATCTCATGCCATTCTCAGCTGCTTCGTTTCGTTGACAAATTATCGGCTTCTAACTGGCAGTTTTTTTTACCTATACATTCGCATCGCGGTTGCTTTGTAGATTTCGGTGGATATTTCTCGTTATCGATCTTTTATGCGTGATTCGCGCCGTAAATGTGCTAGAACGCCACGAATTTGTCGAAGGCAGCAATCTTCGAGCGAATTATTATACACTGAGAAAAAAATATAGTTGCTTTCGGCCTCAATTATACTTTTTGGTGATTTTAACCAGAAAAATAATTAGAAGAACCATCTTTCTAATAACAGTTACTAAAACAATGGTTTTTCTAATCATTTTTGTAGTTAAAATCACAAAAGGATATAGTTGACACCAAAGGTAACTATATTTTTCTCTCAGTGCACGCGACTCACAGTTGTGTTCGCAAAATGGCGGAATTTATCGTATCGCGGCGAGCACCGGTTAAACAAATCCGCAGGTTTCGATCTTTCATTAATCGATATCATAGAGTTGATTTCGGAGCAGATAATAAATTTGTCATTAATATCGCTATATTCGTCGATATAAATATCGAGTGCATCGCGAGTGAAGTGTTAAGTAAGTGCAATCAACTTGGGACAACATAAGATGGAGGCTGCAGGACGCGAAGTCAATAGTGGATCATCTGATGGACATCACTGGACCTAGTTGGACATCTGTGGAGGTCGACCGCTATGGTGAGCGTTCAGTCCAACGCTCACAAAGAGCTGTTTCATATTGTAGTGCATGCCGCAAATTCGCATTGATTTGCGACACGAGAATAGCTTTAATTTTTAAGATTATAAGTTATAGTTTGAAAATTATGAATAACCAAACGACTAAATAATCAAACGTGCCGCATCGCGCATCTCGTCGTGTCACGTCGAGAACCAAACACGGAAAACGACGGCGAAGATTGCGAACGTATAAAAAGTGCATCGCTATATATGTGTTGCCTATAAAGCGGAAGTGTCGTGAACCGTTGCGAAGCTGGCGCCGCATACTGTATTATGCCTGCTTGCATATCTTATTCAGCGATTCGCCGTCCCTGGATTGCGTGCACGCGCACGTATCGCGTGTCGATGAGCGAATGTGCAAAGTAATGTTGCAATTAAAATTAGATAAATTACTCGGCAACTTTGCAACTCGACAAATAATTCAGTAAAAAGCGTCTCTCTTATTCAAAATTATTGTCGTCAGCTGTAAATATCGTTGGCGTTATTTCGACGACACGGTTTCTCTTTAATCTGAAAGCATCGACGGAGCGAAAATCGAAACGCCGTCATGCAACATTCACCGTATACATGAGAAGCCGAAAATATAATTCTCGACGTAAGCATTAAACTGAAAATGAACACAAACGTATCGACATTCGGCGAACACGGCCGTGGCGATGAAAGTAACAGGTAAAAGTAACAAGTAGTAAACAGCGATATAAAGCCCGAAGTATTTCTTTAGCGCGCCTTCTTGTTTCTACGATCGTTTGCTCGTACGTTTCACTTTTTTCTCGTGATGCGAGCAACGTAAAGAGGGAGGGGGGGGGGGGGGGGGGAAGGAAAAACGCG